GCTTAGTGTGTTGTTTACGTCCAAGCCAATTGTGTGCTTGCTTGAAGGACAAAGTTTCCGACTCTGCGGTCTCAGTCTGTGTATGCTCATTTACTTGTTCGTGTAGAACAACGCACATAGGTCACAGTGACAGGTGATTGTACAAAAGGATTTGAGGCTTCAGTTTAAAAAAATTTCATTTGATTGTTTGTTTGCAATTTTTGTGTTCGGTTAATGGGTACTTTCAGATTCTACTTGTTATTCCTATATAGTGTGCCCCACAATCTCCACATTTAATTTCATAAACCTGATCGGCAACTACCTGTGGTGATATCGAATTTTGTTGATACGCCAGATATCGATATAGAACATTATCAGGTTTAAAGACAGTACGGATGGAAGGTGGGAGTAGTAATGTCTTGATAGCTTTCAGTTTTCATCCCGATATTGGATGCGTACAGTGGGGAAGTTTGTTTTATGTGTGTAGCTCTCGCCCAATAGAACTGAGAGTTCTACCGATTAGTGGTGATTAGGATATTGATTTGTAATGAGAGTGTTTCTGATCTTCCGGAATTCCTTCTTCCTCATTAAGTCATTGAAACATTCTTTGCTCGTTCTGTTAAGGAGGGAAAGTATGAGTGATTGTGTTATTTTGAACGGCTGGCAGGAATTGTATGTTACGTATGTTCCGGAGTCTGTTGGTTTGCAACATACGGAGGCATTGATCGATTTTACTCGTTCATCTTTACAATACAGTCAGGAAAACTAAGAGAGCAATATCTAATTCAGTTTTTAGAGTGAATTTTATGTTTGAACATTGACGGTTCAGATGATGGAAAAAATAGAAAACAAACTTCACACTTCATTATGACAAACATATCAACCATAACTTCTGTTTCGTTAGTAGTGCGTACTTTTTGGGTCCCTGTCCGTAATTCAACCAGGAACCTCCGGGATGGGGCTTCAAACCCCTACCCTGAAGCCTGTGAAAAACCGAATGGGCTAATTGAAACTTTCACCGTCTAAAACAATGGAGATATTTCAACTGTCACGTGTTATCACACACGTTAACAAGCTGGGAGACAAAAGCTCAAAGAAAACATTTCTGTCAATTCGATTGTATTGGGGTAGAAGTGTGGGGTTATCGACCAAACAAAAGGAAATCTGAGGATAAGTACAATAAAGCGGTACCATTAATGTGGAACGCTGCATTCGATCACAAAGTTAGGCATATGATTTTGTAGAGTAGGCGGTTTCATGAACTTGTATGTCCTAGAACTTTCGTAAGTGATGTCAACATGCAAAGACCAAAACCGGTTGTTTAAAAGAATGACACCAAAGAATCAGATTTGGGAATGCTTTGACTATTCATTAAAATACTGGATACACTACTTAACAGTCGGAGAGAACGGGGACCAGTTATTTACTGGAGGGTACATCACTAAACCAATGCGGATCGCGGTACAGATCAATCGAGAAGCTTAGTCAGGCGGTTTTGGAGTATGCGGAAACTCTGCAAACCCGGGGGGATGAACGACCAAGCATCAGTGTACTTGCTGTATTTATTGATCTGTGAAAATCCTTTGGAAAAACCCAAACAAGAACTATATTTGAATCGTTTTTCATAATTTACACGTTTCACTCGCTCAATATCACTCGCACCGTATACACGCACAAACTTTGTTCCCTTAAGTTAGTTTCATATTTGCACCGCGGTCCCATTCTTTGACCATGTTTGTTTATTTCTCGACTCGTAAACTGGTCGCTCACTTGTGATTCGTTCGAGTGTAGCCTGAAGGTGAACATGCTTTTTCACTTCAAGACTCAGTTCTGTGGTTCAGGTTCTGTGACTTACGATCATTAGAACCCGCGGTTCTTGAGCTCAAGCTGTTCTGAGATCATTTTGAGTTTTGTACATATTTTATTTGTTTTTTAATCGTTTATCAATGCAGTACCTTAGAAATGTTGCTGGATCAATAGTTTTCAGGATTCCTTTTAGCTAGCCGCCACTCGTTGATCTACTTGGGAGTAAGAGTTGGAGATAATAAAGTTGGGGATAGTAAAGAAATTCTGTATATCGTAAAGCAAAAAGACTAGTGACAACATAATCGATGTTTACGAAAAAAGATTCCGTTCGAGGGAACTGGGTGATCAACGCATTCTAAATTTTTGGTGTCAGATCATGCTCAGAAAGCGGTTCATTAAGCGCTCTTCGGTCGATATAAAATTGAGGGTAATTGCAGTTTCAAGAGTGTTCATTGTTGTAGTAGTACCTTCATCCTTGTATAAGACCATTTCTAACTGGTTGTCTGCAATTAGCTATAATGGATTGCTTCTCCTACCTCAGGTAAGGGAGGCAATCTCCGACACTTTTGAGCCTTGAGCAGCGTGCGAATGACGGCCTTGACGTTTTCTTAAAATTGGTACGTCCGTATACTGTGCCAGTGAGTGGTACGTTCTGCTGTTAAAACTTTAAGTTGCTAACTGGAACATATCCAATAGACATTTTTTATTGTCAATTTTTTCCTCGTTTGGAGCGAGTAGGATGACACGATCAGGTCAACGTCGATGAGGTTATTCGTCTCGCAGTTGGCATTGAATCAATGAAAACTCAATCAGCAGATGGAAGTAAGTAAAAGTATTGTTATGAAGACGTATTGTGCCTACCAAGGTGTCCTCTACCGCAATATCTTTCGATTACTGTTGCTGATGCAGGACAAAAGAAAACATGTGGGGGTTAGCAGATGACGTGGAGACATGGCAATTAACTCGAGCAGTGGTTCTTCGCCTTCCAGATCGTAGCCTTAAACCCTCCGGAACTGATGGATTGGAAACAATGAACAACATGGCAGCAAAACAACAGAAGTTTTCTATTTCTCATTTGGCTTGAGACCAGAATAACTGAACAGATGCTCGTGCTTGGTTAGACCATGTACTCTGATTCTCAACCACATACTTTACTTTACTTTATTTCCTCCCCAGACTCCGTCGAAACATGCCCGATTTTTGGCATAACGCGGTTTTACTTATTTTGTATACATTTCAAACTTAGCAGCATTCAGAGATGCATGATTCACCGTCTTTCGTTGTGCGCTGAAGATGATTCATTTTAACATTTGGTACTGGATTTTATTTCAATTCTTGCAAAGGTACAGTGGTTTCCGCTTGGTAAAAAATAGAAGATTATGTAATGCGATATCCTTTATTTTGGATGTTACCGTTCAACTACGGGGATGGGTTGTGGTAGGAAATCACAATGATGAAACAATGCAAGGTATGCTAATTTTTTTCCAGAAGCACGCGGTTAGCCATCTAAACAGATGCAGTTGTGGTCGGTGCAGGAGTAGACTGGTTTGGTGGTTCTGTATGGTCACCATCTAAATGGACAAATAGAAAAAAAACGAAATCAACAATTATTATTTGTGTTTATTTCGACTACAGTGTTGTCGAATCGTGGAGAAATGGAACCGAAATCTAATTGGTTGATCTTGGAACATGTGAGAAATGCTAAATGTTGCAGGATTTTCGTTTATTGGTTTACATATTGGAATTAACTATGTTTTTACGATCCACGGATGTCAGGACCATAAAACGTGCGGTACCAGAGGCTAGAGACACAAGTTACCAATTTCAATATATATATATACATGGAAATCGGTAATTTGTTTCCTGGTCGAGAACTTTGCTATAATGAACCAAAGTTGTTCATTTTCGTAAACCTATAACTTTGTCAGGCGATGAGCGGCCAATGATTCTGTATGGATCAAGACAGATTGCTGATTTGCCACAAGCGACACTAGACATCAATCAAGTTCGTCAGCAAACTATCACACACGTTGAAAATGGCAACACCTCTACGGATTCCAGTTGCCCAATATCATTGTTATGAGATACTACTCACTTGTGAGCAGTAGGTAACTTTCAATATATAAAATAATAATAATAATAATAATAATAATATATAAAATAAAAATATAAAAGACCACCAAGGGCCAAGTGATGTGTCTGAAAGAATAACTAATGACTACTCTATGGATTAATCGATGTGCCGCCAGGAACGGTGATGGTATGATTCTGATGAGGTGTTTTCTGTTATGTATGGTAAATTTTAATCAAAGACCACAAAACACTGTTAGTTGATGCAACTTGTTTTATATAGTGATAGGTGTTCGACTACATTTGGTACAATGTTATCGTTCACTCGTCACTACAGGTAATTCAATTTCTCACAGCCAATATACGCATAACTAGGAAGGAGATAGAAACTCCAAAATAATTCATAAATCTGTATGCTGATTTTTCTTTTCGATTCATCGTTAAATGAAAAACAAAAGTGATGGTCACAAATCTAACGTACTGGCTTCCTTGTCTGGACACTGCGGATCCACATTTAGACAAAAGGTTCGTTTTTCCGTATCACTTAAATCGGAACTCGTTGAAGGAATCTGTAGATTGAACAAATGGAAGCAGTTGCGATCAACCCTGCCCACATTAGATACAGACATGCACACACGCACACACGCATATTGAATATCCACCGAAATGTCTTACCAAGGCAGCCAATTGATTGAGTTTATCGCACACGTTTGCGGTGTCTGCAAATCATTTGTTGCACAGAAAGGAAACCGTGAAAATTTTGTATTATATGAATTGATAAAACAGATATATGTTTGTTCAGATCAGATTGCTTCAAAAAACCTGCTTCACCTACACCAAAACCCGCGGAGGAAGTTAGCCTGAATGTTGCTGAATGTGTTCCTGTATCATTAAACGATTGATTAATTGTGAAAACAACAGTGTGGCCCCGCAACTAAACTATTGGATCACACGCTTTATAGAAGCATAGCTGGTGGTTTCAAGTTGATTCGGGGTCACTCTTCATGTAAAAATTTCAATTCGAAAATCCTGTTATAGGTACATGAACATCGAATACGTGTAACGCCTTGAACCCAGATGCGCTGATTTATGAATCTCACGGTTTTTTGTAAGACTGCGAAAATTCACTCATTCATATGTTTCTTTTTGTTTGCAAAGTTTGTTCAGGAAGCCTCAAATTAACATCAGGTCATGCATTCAAAGGAGTCTTAAATGTTTGAACAACATAGAATTAATCTTACCGTTGAGCCACTGGCATCTATGAATGCAACACTTCCAGATTTGGATTTCTACAATGGAGATGGAACGGAAAGAATCATGAGGCGAACTGATTAGATGGATTCCACTTTGTGTGTATTTTATGCGGTTCGTCGGATCTCTACCAACCACTGGGGAAGTAGTTTACAAAACAAAGAGGAATAATCGAGTCATTCGTTTACAGGTTTTTTCACTAGTTTGACCCTATGCTGTTTACGTTCTGGGACAGGTGCGGAACACAACAAGCACACATACATATCTGTGCAGCCTTTTTCATAACAATTGTTGCCAGCAGCACATAAGGAGAGCGAAAAACAACAATGGATGCAGTTTACATGTGACTAATGCTATAAAACTTGACTTTTAAAACCGATAGAAGTGGGAAGCAAAGTTGTGTACAAACGAATGGGGATAAAGTGACCAATTACAATCTCAACTGCCGAAATAGTCCCAGAGCACAGTTCAAACAAAACAACAGAGTGGTGAACAAGCTAGTTTTCGAAGATTGGAATTCATGCCAATCGATTCCAATATACCTATCACTACTAAAGTTATGTACGGAAAATTTAAAAATTCACAGATTACTAGAAACGATTTCATCGTGAGACCGGAAATCGGGATCACCACGATCACATATTTTGTTTGTCCACTCATCCGATCATCGAGATTACTCGTGATGTGGCGTGCGAAGGAGGGGGGGGGGG